CTAACAGTGAATACTACATCAGGAAACAGAGCAAGCTCAATCAACTTAGAAACTCAAAAACTTCTAGAAAAAGAACAGCACATGAAGCCCAGAGTTTGTATGAGGAAGAAAAATATAAAGATCAGAGCAGAAATTAGTCCAGTGCAGACTAAGAAAACAATACAAAGAATCAATCAGTTGACCAGTTGGTTCTCTGAAAAACTAAATAAAATTGTGAAATTCTTAGCCAACCTTATTATTAAAAAACTCCAATCCATGCAATAAGGAATGAAAAGGGCAAAATCACAATAGATTCTGCAGAAATCCAGATCACCAATACATACTTCAAGAACCTGTATTCTAATAAGATAGAAAACACAGAAGAAATAGATTCCTAGCTACATATGAATTATCAAAGCTGAATGAAGAAGATACAAAAATTCTAAATAAACCAGTATTAGTCAATGAAACTGAAGATGTAATGAAAAACATTCCAATAAAGAAAAGCTCAGGCCTTCAGGGAATTACTGCTGGATAAAAAAAACTGGTGTTTTTATATAGAGGAATACTACTCAGCCATAAAGAAGAATAAATGAGACATTCATAGCTAAATGGACAGACCTCGAGATCACTCTCTTAAGTGAAATACACAGGACACACATTAATACCACATTGCCTCTCTAGTGTAAGAAACTAAAAGTATAAGAACCAAAACGTGTATCAGCAATTGTGAAATAGGAAGAAACTGTTCAAAAGGAAAGGGAAACTAGAGTGGGGGAAGAAAGGTGGGAGGGGAAAAAATTGAGAAAAAAGGATACAATAAAAAAGTTTTATAAATGAGAGGAGGAGGGATTGAACAGGAGGGAGCGGAATGTGAAAAAGAGGCAGCACGATGCCTCAGGTACAGGTACCAATTCTCGGATTAACTTTTTTTTGTGTGTGTGGAACTGGGGATTGAACTCAGGCCCTTGCACTTGCCAGGGAAGTGCTTATTCTACTGAGCCATCTCCCCGGCCCCATCTCTGATTAACTTTTAAAAGTGCTAAATATTTTGGGAATGTTTGACTACAGGTTATGTACTACCATTATGGATAATTTTCTTAGATAGGTTAATGATCATACAGAAATGTTTTTGGTTTTGGTTTTGGTTTTTTTACATAGTGTAGTTTAGGCTGGCCTAGAACTCACTATATAACCTAGGCTGGCCTCAAACTCATGGCGATCCTCTTGCCTCAGCCTTCTAAGTGCTGAGATTATGTTGCAGGCAGCCTGAGTTAGATAGAAATATTGTAGGTAGTTAGACAGGGACAGGCCCTCGAAGGGGATGACAAAGACCAGACACCTTACTGGGAGATGCTCCTGGTGTGAGCCAGACCTAAAGATCAAACAAATGCTGACCTCCCTAAAGTTGGCATCCAGGATTGCTCATTAGTCAGGAAGAATCACTGACTGAAGGCCACCAGATAAGGTCGCCCGCTTGCTACGTGACTCGCTACCCCATTTGGTCCTAGGCCTAATCAATTTTACTTGGCAATGGTGCTTGTAATCCCATTGGCTGACCATAGTTTTGTCCCACCCTGTATCTACCTAAGCGGGACCCCTTTGTCTCTACCTTAGCCCCGCATGGTTTTGTCCTATAAAATAACCTGATGGAGACAGCTTCCTGGGCAACCCGCTCGGGACCCCCTTCTGTCCCTCTCCGACAGAAGCTTTCCTTTCCAATAAAGTTTTACCCTCAACCTCCGTTTGTTCCTAAAATTCATTCTTCGGTTTTAGAGAACACGAACTCATTCAGGCCAGGTTGGGGATTTCACGTTCCTTTATCAATTACAAGCATGTGATACCATATCCTGCTAATAGCTTCTTTCTTTAACAGACATTTTTTTTAACTGCTTTTTCCCCTCCCTTTTCAGTCTCACATAAGACTGAATATCTTTTCCAATAAACAGCTCACATGGGTACATTCTGGGAATGCATGTTAGTTTATGCATTTATGCATTTCTTACTCTTATGTGTAAGAAAATGACAAATTTCTATTAATTAAATAGATCCAGACCAAAATACTGAGTGTAGACAAAAAGGTGAACAAGGTAAGTGCTGGGACCACAGGGGGGGTCAACCGACTGGGCTCTAGAAATATTACAATCTCTTTCACAAATGACTTGAGATAACATCAACAAATAAAGTAGCTAGGGAGATGGCTCAGTAGAATAAGTGCTTGCCTGGCAAGTGCAGGGTCCTGAGTTCAATCCCTGGTACCGTAAATAAATAAATAAAGTAAAATATGAATAATTGTTGAATTTAGTACAGTACACAGAATTACTATTCTGACTTCCTAGACTTAAAATTTATCAAAATAAAAAATCTGAAGAATAAAATAATTTTACTCAAAAATAAATAAATAAATAAACACTATAACCAAGTTGGTTTTATCCCAGGGATGTAAAAACGATTTAACATATGTAAATCAATAAATGTAATACATCACATAAACAGAAGCAAAGACAAAATTCACACAATCATCTCCACACAGAAAAAGCCTCTAACAAATTCCAACATCCATTCATGATAAAAACCCTGATGAAGATAAATACAGAATGACCTTATCTTAAACTGATAAAAGCCATTTAAGACAAACCCACCGCCAATATCACAATAAATGGGGGAATAAAAATTAAAGCTTTTCTCTAAGTCCAAGAACAAGACAAGGCTGTCCACTAACCACTCCTTTTCAATAGCACTTAAAGCTGCAGCCAGAGCAAACACACAAGAGTAAGAAATAAAAGAGATACAAATAGGAAAAGAAGAAGTCAAATTATCATTCACAGGTGACTTCCATGCTGGCCCTGTCCCTGGGGCGCACTGGGCGTGGTGGCGTGCGCCTATAATCCCAGCCCTTGGGAAGCTGTAAACAGGAGGATCAATGCGAGTCTGCTCTGCGCAGTGAGACCCTGTAGACCCTGTCCTAAAAAAAAATATATATATATAAAAACTATTCACAGGTGATACTATCCTCTACATGGAAGAAAAAAATTCCACTAAAAGATTCCCAGTAATAATAAATAAATTCACCAAATTACCAAGATACTAACACACAAAACTCAATAGCGTTTCTGTATTCCAATGAACCCACCAAGAGACAAAGAAAACAATCCCATTCACAATCATGTCCTAACAAATTCAACACTTGGGAATTAACCTAACCAAGGAAATGAAAGCCCTCTATCACGTAAACTATAGTATCCTGAAGAGCACATCAAAAATGGAAAGACATCCCCTGTTCCTGGATAGGCAAAATCGATATTGGTGTTAAAGTGGCCACAGCACCATAACTAATACATAGATTAACTAATGCCAATTGCAATGCCAACAGTATTCTTCACAGAGTTAGAAAAAACAATCCTAAAATTCATGAAACCCAGAATAGCAAAAGCAATCCCGTGCATTAAGAGCAAAGCAGGAGGCACCACAATCCCAGATTTCAAGTTGCATCACAAAGCTACAGTGACTAAAAACTGCATGCTATTGGGGAGAAAAGAAAAAAAAGCCCAGACATGCAGGGCAATGGAACAGAACAAAGGATGCAGAGACAAACCCAGGCACATGCAGCCATCTGATTTTTGACAAAGGGGCCAAAAGCATACACTGGAGGAAAGACAGCCTCTTGAACAGGTGATGCTGGGAAGACTGGTTATCCACATGTACAAGAATCAATCTACATCTCTCACCCTGAACTAAAATAAAATCAAAGTGAATCAAAGGCCTAGATCCTAAAACAGAAACACTGAATCTGCTGGAAGATAAAAGTAGGAAAAGCTCTTAAAGCCATATGCACAGGCAAGGACGTTCTGAACAGAAGATCCAACTGCACAAGAAATAGCACCAGCCATCAACAAATGGGATTCTATCAAGTTACAGTTTCTGTGTAACAAAAGAAACAACCAACAGAGTGAAAACACAACTGACAAAGGGTGCGGTGGAATCTGCCAGCTCCCCCTCAAACAAAGGACTAATATCTGGAATACATAAATAATTTTAAAAAATTAGACTCCTTGAAATAAAGACCCAATCAAAAGGTGGGCAAGTGAGATGAATAGACACTTAGAAATACAAACGGCCAATGAGTGCATGAGGAAAATGTGCTGCAACTTTGATCATTAGAGAAATGCTGATCAAAACTGCAGTGATAGGGCCAGGGAGATGGCTCAGTAGAATAAGCGCTTGCCTGGCAGGCGCAAGGGCCTGAGTTCAATCCCCAGTGCTGCAACAAAAAAAAAAAAGAAAAAGAAAAAAGAAAAACCCTGCAGTGACAGACCATCTTACTCCAGAAGAATGGCTATGACCACAAACTCAAGAAACAAATGCTGGTGAGACTGTGGGGATAAAAGAATCTTTCTACATTGTTAGTGGGAAAGAAAACTGGCACACCAATATGGAAATCCGTGTGGAGATCTCTCAAAGTGCTAAAAGTAGAAATTCCATTTGACTCAGACAGCTAGGTGTCTGCTCAAGAGCTAAGGACACCACATTAGTGATATAAGCAAATCTGTGTTTACAGAAGCACAACTCACAATAACTAAATCTTAGAAACAGCCCATAAGACCATCAACAGATAAATGAAAAGAAAGCATGGTATATATACATAATGGAGTACTACTTAGCCATAAAGAAGGATAAATTTAAGTCATCTGTAAGAAAATGGATGCCCCATGAGATCATGATGCTAAGCAAAATAAATTAGACACATGTTAAATATGAGAAACTCCAAAATATAAATAATTTAAAGAACAAAATAAAAGTCCACTAGGAACCAGGAGGTAGACTTTTTGCACATGGGAAGATTTAGGCATGGAGTGGGATGTGGGGAGGAGGTAGGGGATGCAAAAAAGACTAAGACACCCTGTGTGGTGCAGCAACTCCCCGCTATGAATGTATTCTTATGCATCACAAGCATGTGCTAAAAAATAAGACTGAGCCTTGGCCCAAGCCTGCACGGCTCCGCGCCAGACTGATCCCCTTACCTGATGCCCATGGAGTGTGTAAAGCAGCCGGCCCTCCATCAGGTCCAGGATCTTCAGCGTTGAGTCGCTGGATGCCGTAATCAGGTAGTTCCCAGAGGGGTGGAAAGAGAGGGCGTTCACTGCTGCACTGTGCACTGCAGAAAGATGTTGGTCAGGAGCTGGCGGGAGGCCCGGAGAGCACAGCTGACCCCTGAGACAGCCAAGTGGGGTCAGCACAGGCCAACACGGTGGGGCCAGGACAGACACTGCCTGGAAGAGCTGTGTGTCATTCCACACATGCACCACCATCACCGTGGACTTTCTAGGGAAGCAGCACAACAAAGGGATGAGAAAAAACTCAGCTAGAGCCAAGGGTAGGCAGTGGGAGACCCAAGGAGGAAGAAACCACTCAGCAAGCCAGAGGCACCAAGAGGGGGTGGAGACCTTGCCCCACCCTCCTGGGCTCCGGGTGACCTATAGAAACTTGCCATCGGTGTATCTCCGATAACAGCTGTAGTTCTCCCTAGCGGTGGGGGGTTAAGAGCTGCCTCCCGGACAGCAGTTAGTTACCACTGCCATGGAACCAAGAAGAGGGCCCACAGGTTCAGACTTGATGGAAGTGGACTGTCCTTAGGTATCCTCTGCTCAAGACACTGTGACAACAGTGTTACACCCTGTGGAGCAGTTGAACCCTTGAGGGGGAATACTGTGCAGGGAATAGTTCCTAAAATGAGGTGTCCCTAGATGCCCCTTTCCACAGCTCTCCAGATGCACAGGTGTGAAGATGGAGGCTAGGATGGCCCATGGGTGAGCAAGGGGGGCATCCTCAAAGGCCTGACATGCCAGGCTAAGCCCTGAGGGAGTAACTGGCTCCCGGAGTTCACGATGTCTGCCACTTGTGGGGCTTTTGTTGCCTTTCCCCTGAGGCACTCTCTCCTTTGGGCGGGCTGGGCCCACAGCGCAGTGTCCACACACTGACTCGCAGTTTTGGCGCAGGCCAGCACTAGGCTCCCTGAGTGCGCCCTGCCTTTCCCCTACACAGACCCTACAGCCTGCACTGGGATGAAGGCCAGTCCTACACCACTTAAGACAAAGCTGGCAGAAGAGCAGTCAGTTGTAGAGGCCTCCAACAAAAACAAAAATAAAAACTCCTCCAGGACTTGGGGAGTAGCCCAGTGAAAAAGCATGTGCTTAGCATGTACGAAGCCCTGGGTTCAGTTCCCAGCATTGCATTTAAAAAATGAAAAGACTAAAACCCTCCAAGACCATGCCTTGGGTAGGGTAGAGGCACAGGGACATTCTAGGGACCAGTGGCCAGAGAACATGGGACTCAAGGGTTCCAACTCAGCCTTCTGGAGAAGATGAGACCAAGTCTCCCATCAGCTAGCCAACGAGACTGCCTATTCTAGAGCTCCAAGAATAAAACACTAGAGTCATCACGGTGCAAAGAGCCCTGCACGGGAACCATCGGCAGAATGCCACACTGGGGGAGGCTGGAGATCCAGATTCACGACCTCCCGGCTACTGACAGCCAAGCCTCATGCTTCTCACTGGCCAAGTGGGGAGAAGCCCTGCCTCACTGGCCGTGCAGGCTTGTCAGCAGATCATGGACCTGCACGTGCCTAGAAACCACAGGCACACTGTGGGTGCTGGGACGGGGGCTGCCGCTCAGATGTCTGAACAGTCTTACCGTGGGCTCGGAGCATATGGAGCCAGGGCTATTGGCACTCCCAGGAATCCACCAGCCTGTCAACTTACTGAATTGGGAAATAAGAACTGCTTTCTGCAATGACAGGCCAGAGCCAAGAAACTCCTTGCCTTGCAAGAGAGTTGGCCGGGCTGAAACAAACAGTGCCAGCTATCTGCTGTAGCCCAAAGCCCCAAGCAGGCTTCAACTTCAACCCAGGACAGGCAATGGCCTCCACAGAGCATGACCAATGGGTAGCTGGAAACACTATTGCATAGTTAAACAAATTCTCCTGCTAGGTGTGGTGGCATATACCTGTAATCACAGCACTCAGGAGGCTGAGGCAGGAGGACTGCTGTAAATTCAAGGTCAGCCTGGGTTACACAGCAAGTTCAAGTACCTAGTGCTCATCTGAAGCCACCAGGGAAGGCACTGGACATCACTGTGTCCTTAAAATCTTTCATCTGGGTTTCACAGGAATCAAAGACAGAAAAGAGATCAGGCATCTGTTACTACTCTTCTTAGGGAATCAGCCACCACAAAGACCCACAGCACCTGTGGGGGCGGGCGCCTCCTGGGTAGTGGGTTTCAGCTGAGGAGCTCTCTGGACAACCCCTAGACCTGAGGAGAGCTGGCCAGGTCCCTGCATCAGCAAAGAGAGTGAGAAGTGTGTCTCGTATCTAAAAAGCCCTCATCTACCTGGCTCTCTGAGCCGCTGAAGGTGAGCTTCCTGGCTGGGAGACGAGTTTGCTTCCCGGTGAGCACCCCCAGGAACCTCCACATTGCATCTGAAACTCGAGAGACTCCTGCTGTGTTTACAGGTGCGCCAAGTCCTGGTGTGGTGGAGAAACAAGGGGCTGTGGGCTCAAGAGGAGCTTCATCCCTTGAGGTAAGGACAGGAGCGAAAGCAGACTGACAGCTGTCAGGACAGACTGGCGGCCAGGCATACCGGAGCCCACTCAGCGCTTAGCCCCGGTGCACACCTGAGCCCTCCAACCTCTGCGGCCCTGCCATCCCTGGGCTTCATGAGCCCCAAGGGCTCTTCCCTCAGCACTCACGTCCTCGTCTACTCCACCTCCTGACTCCCCTCTCCATCCTGCCCCCTGTCCTTTCTCTTCTGGCTCTGTCCTCTGCAGCCCCCCCATGCTGGAGATGGTGCTAAGGCCCCTCGACCTGCTTTGCAGAGCTATTTCTTCTATGGCTCTTCACTGGCAGGACCCAGGGTAGAGCCCTTTTCACATGCCAAATCCCAGGCCCAGCCAGCCACCCTCCCTCTCCACAGTGTTAGCTTCTGCTTCTACCCAATCTCCACACGCCAGCCTCTGGGCCTGAGCACTCCTCACGGATACAGGCCCTCATCTTGACCTGGCCACAGTGACTGTCCCCAGCCAGGTACACCAGCCTCCTGCCAAGCAGACCACTGCTTTTCTTTCAGATAATCCTCATCTCTTCTTTTGGAATGACAGGCCATTCTCAGCACTGGCAGTCCAATCTCGTCTTTGAGACCCTGGACCAGAGAGGGCATTCAAGACTGTCCCCAGTTGGGACCTGCTACTGTGCCCCATCAACATCAAGCCCAAGCTCCTGATCCATCAGGGTTGGGCCTGGACTTTCCTGGGGTCACCTAGAAAAGTAGTACCAACGCTCATGTGCTATAGGGCACACACCCGGCCCTGTCCCCTTCGTAGAGAGGAAACAGCCTGCACTCCTGACCACTGTACCACCTCATCACTTTCCCACAGCAAATTCTTCCCCAGGGCCTGCCTGCTCTGCCTGCCCAAACTCGGCCCTTAACTCAGGCTGGCTCGCGAGCTGAAGCAGAGCGTCTAGGCCTAGAGGTGGGGAGCCCTAGACCTCTCCAAGTGGAGGGCATACCCTGCTACTGTTTTGGTCTGGAAGACTGAAAGCATCAGTGTCAGTGATGGGGCCAGGGCTCACAGCATAGCAAAGACATAGTTCTTGTGGCTCGGGCCTGACACCTGGTGGTGGTAGAGGGTACTGTAGACCTTCACCAACCAGTGGACCCCCAAAGCAGACAGGATATGAGGAATAAGACAGACTCCCTCAGCAGTAGCGTGCCTTAGTCCGATCTTGGACCAACACGTACTCAGGGTTTGTTTTGGGGGTGATATTGGGAATCACATGGATCCCATGGACTTTTCACGGGGATATATCTCCAGCCCTTTCATCAATGTCTTGAGCTTTTTATAAAATGGTGGCGCACACCTGGGATCTCAGCACTTAGGAGCTGAAGCACCAAGATTACTGTGAGTTCGAGGTAAGCCTAAGCTAAATAGTGAGTTCAAAAAAAAAAAATTATTTTGAGATAGGGTCTTGCTAAGTTGCCCAGGCCAAGTTCAAACTCAAAATCCTCCTGCATCAGCCTCCCAGAATGCTGGGGTTGCAGGTGGACACTGCCAGGCCCAGGCCCAGCCATTCTGTTCTGGACACAAACCAACTCATAAACCCTCCGACATCACTTGTGAGAAAGGACCTGCCGTTGTATCAGAAGCTCCAGGGAGTTAAGTGACCTGCTTACTTACTCCAAAGCCAAGAGTACAGAAGCAAGATTCCACCCTCCACCGCTATCCCTGGCCAGGATCTCCCTCCGCTTCTCAGGAGGTTAGCTCACCTCAACCATTCCCAGAAAGTGCTGTCTTCAAGCATCTGAGACAATCAAACAGTGCTTGTGAGAGTGTTGAGGCAGGCTCTGAAACCTGAGCCATGCCCAGTGTGATGGCACACACCTGTAATCCCAGCACTCAGGAGGCTTAGGCAGAAGGATCTCCATGAGTTCAAGGCCAGCCTGAACTGCATAGTGAAACCTTGTCTCAGAAAGACAAAAAACAAACAAACAAACACCCAGAGACCTACAACTGTGTCAACTCCTCAGTGTTTCCAAAGGCCACGGTTAAGTCAGGCACAGTACTGGGCCTAGCTCCCAAGCCTAGACGTTGGCTAAATCTACCTTCTACCTGCCTTATGGCTCTACACCCATGGAGCACCCCATGAGAATGGAAGTAACTGAGGTCCCACCAACACTGACCTCTACGGACCTCTCTGCCTCTATGGCCCTGAAGGGCAGTCTCCATGACAGGGCAAGGTGAGCAGCCCTGGCAGCCCTGGAGAACTTGCTCTCAAGGAGCCTAGCCAGGCACCCAACGAGGAAGCCCAGTGGCAGTATTCCTGAGACTCTGTCTACTCATAGCTGGCACTAAAGGGCTGGTAGAAGCCAGGAGGTAGCACACCCCGTCTCCCAGCCAGTGCCCCAAGCCAAGACAGCCACATCACAGCCTGTTCAGCCATGGCTATCCAACAGACCAAGAGTCCCCTTCCACCCCCCCCCCTACTGAAGCACCACAGCAATGAACCAAACAGCCAGCACCAACACAGTCCAACCATGGCTGCCCCACGCCCACAGCGCTGCCTGGCACTCACACTGATAATGCTGCAGCAGCCGGTGCGTCCGCACGTCCCACACCTTCACCGTGTTGTCCATGCCGGCGGCGGCGACACAGGTACCACTGGGGTGGAAGTCCACATAGGTAACAAAGCTGGAAAGACAAGGGACATCCTGCACTACAGGAGGTTGGCTCTGCTTCAGGATAGACCCACAAGTGTCCCTTATTTTCCCATCCCTTTGTATCTGTTCATGCTGTTTCCTCAAACCAAACACCTCCTTCCTGCCATATTTCTTTACAGATGGCCACAGGAAAGCAAAAAGGAACAGGCGAGAACCCTGGCCAGTAGTGAACTGTAGTGGACTTACGAGGGACCAAGTCCCAGCATTGGGGGGGTACTACAGATCAAAACCGGGGGCACTGTACCACTGAAACAAGTATATAACAAATATATAATACACACACACACACACACACACACATATCACATCACATATTCAGCCCTTTTTATTTTGGGGCAGGGTCTCACTAAGATGCCCTCCAATTTGCAATACTGCCTCAGCCTCCAAGGTAGCGAGGGTTATAGGCCTGTACCACTGTGCCTAGCATTTTTTTTTTTTTTTAAGCCAGGAATTGAACTCAGGACCTGCACTTATCAGATAAGTGATACGCCACTGAGCTATATCCCCAGCCCATCAATTTTTAAATACAAGTAGAGATGGCTGTCTTCAGACCTAAAGACCTGCAGGGCTGTGGAGCTGGTACTCCTGCTAGAGCTGACGCAGGGCAGGTCTTGCCAGCTGAGGTCCAGCAGGGACCTTGTCTGTGGTTCCCAGCCTGAGAAGTGTACTAGGTTCCATTAGGCTGAGTGCTCCTCAAACACAGGCTTCTCCCTTTCTCAGTGATAGGGTACAGTATAAACAGCCACCACCTGATGCTTCTATTCATAAAGCCATTGCCATAGGTGACATACTAAGAAGCTTTAAAATGCAGCTGGGGGGGTCTGAGTTCAACTACTCACAGGTGTGTGGCAATTGTAAGAACTAGAAAATGAAGGCAGAAAACAGAGGTCCACACTATTACACGGCTAGAGGTTAAGTCGTCAGTGGATGGGGACGGGGCTGAGCCTTTCGTGCACAAAAGAAAAGATGCAAGGCCCACACAAAAGGTATTAGCTGAGGAGCAGAGGCATGGCTGCTGCCTCAGGTCCAGCTCCTGAAGGCACTGGCCTCCTCGTGTCAGGACGGACAGTACGCACAGGTGAAGGACAGCACTAGGCACTTACCCGCCATGCTCACAGTACGAGTGGACGCACTCCCGGCTGGTCTTATCCCACAGCTTGACGGTCTTGTCATCACTGGCAGACACGATAAGCCGCCCATCAGGGGAGAACCTGAGTCAGAAGCACTGGTGAGCAGTTTCCTACAACCACTTTTCCCTGCATGCCTATTACCTGACCAGGAAATGCCTAAGCTTTTGTGCCCTCCCTGAACCCTGAATGGCTCTTGAGTGGGCAGCTGGTGACCCTCTGTGAAAGGAGTAGGAGCAGTGCCTTTCCCACAGTAAGCACGGAGTAGCAGAATGCACAAAATAACCCCACAGTGCTGCCCACTGGCATTCCTAGCATGGGTCATGAGCCCCACAGCAAGAAGTGATCCTCGACGCTAGTCCTCTGGGCCAGCAAAATACAACTGCAAACAAGATGGCATGGAGGGTCTGGGGACCACCACCCGAGACCTCCTGTGGCACGACACCTACTTTGCTGAACCAGGCCCTCACGCTTTTGAGACTCTGACCATGAGACCTCTCAGAGCAGTCAGGGGCCTCCCAGAACAGAGGAATGCCACTGCCAAGTGGAGAACCTGTACAGGGTCTCAGAAAAAGTTCAACAGTCCCAACCTCCAGCTCCCAAAGTTTCCTATATTTCCTGGCCACCTCTAACCCATCCTCCAGAGTAGCGATGTAAAGGAGAAAGCTCTATCTAAAAACCTCCAAGAAGCTAGAAATGGGCAGATCAGTGTCTGCCAATTCTTGGATCACGAAAAGCCCTCCTGGCTTCCCATGTACACAGCCCAGCTCCCCTACCAAAGGGAACTCATCTGGCAGCTCTGGAACAAAACCCAAGTCTGAGGCACAGAGCACCTCAGAGGAAAGTAGATCAGTCTCAGGACCAGACTCAGGCTCAGAGCCCAGCTCTGCCATGCGCCCGCCACGTCTGGGATGAGACCCTGCACTGCTCTGAGCCCGTGTCCTCTTCTGCAGAATGGAAATACCTGGCTGGCAGAACTCGCATGAGGGGCCAACAGACACCCTACAGCGGTAGCACTGGTAGTGTCATGCTGCGGACACCGCACTTCCAAGAAGTGGCTCCCCTTGCCTCAGGTGGGGCTCCCTCAGCGCGGACCCTCTGATGGGCAGCATGGCTTGAGAGAGATTAAGCTCAGGGAGGCTTTTCAACACATAGAATCCAGGAACAATTACTGTTGCCATTTTCAAAATGAAGACGCCAAGGCTCAGAAAGATAAAAGAGTAATTAAGTAACCTGCCCAAGGTCCCAAACTAGCACCTAACATGTCTCCGTGCCCCGCTGAACCCCAAATCCTTCCATTTGTCCCCTGACAGACAAGGTTCACCTGGCACAGCGGACCCAGTTGATGTGCTGGCTCAATGAAAACAGGAATCTCTGGCGATGTGTCGACCACACCTTGATTGTCTTGTCATCAGAGGCTGTCACGAGGGACTGGCCATCACTGGAGAAGTGGACACTCCTCACTGTGGCCGTGTGTGCACGAAACACGGTCGACTCACCTTTGCTATGAGGACAGAGCCAGAGTCAGGAAACCTATAATGGTGAAGTGAGGGCTCACGAGCTTATCGAATCCCTCCTAAGCTGCGACACCGCTCCCAAAGTCAGTCCAGGCCTGAGCACCCCAGTTTCCAAGAAAGGAGGCCAGAACCTTCCCCATAAAGCACTGCCCTGCTTCTCCTACCCCCACCATGTGAGCAGGATGAGGTAGCGCACTGTGCTTTGAGTGGTGAGCGGTACAACAATGGCCAGTCCAGGCCCGGGGTACAAGGAAAGGGCAGCTTTGGCACCAGGGACCCAGACTCTGTCAAGCCCTTTAAAGCCTGTGACTTACACGTTGGGCACCCAGATTCGAACCGTCTTGTCACGGGAGCCCGAGGCAAGCAAATGTCCAGAGGGGGAGAAGTTCACACAGGTGACAGCATCCTTGTGGCCTGTGAAGCGGTATGCACGCGCCTGGGGCTTCATGTGCCAGACCATGAGGCAGGAATCCATGGAGCCACTCGCTGGGGGGAACAAAGATACCAAGATCCTTGTCTCTAGCAGGCCTCAAGCCTCCCCGAGCATACTGGGGAGGCAAGAAGAGCATCACGTCCATCTCTGCTTCACAGAGAAGGTCCCCTCAGGGTCACAAGCCACACCTCAGTGACTGCTGACTGGAGGTTTCGAGGGTCTGTGGGCCAGCAACTCTCCAAGGAGCAGACTGACAGATCCTCACATGCCGGCCCTGGAGAGCACCCAGGGCTCTGGAAAAATTCATCCCGAGGAGCCACAGGTCACTTCACAGACACCCTGAGGACACAGGAGCAAGTCTTTCCAACACTACGGAGCCAGCCAAGCCCAAATAGCCTTTTACTGGTGGGAGGGCACAACTAAGAAGACTAAAGGAGAACCTCACAAAACCAAAAATGACTTCAGTTCTCTCCTTGTCCACAACCTCAAGGAAATCTTTCTTTTTTTTTAATTAGTACAGGGTCTACAGGGTCTCACTACACAGATTGGACTCATAATGATCCTCCTGTTTTCAGACTCCCAAGTGCTGGGATTATATGCCTGTGCCACAAGATCATGACAAGAGTCTGATCAAGGCATGTGCCACCACAAGGCGAACTGATGAGACAAATCTATGGGTAAAAGAAAGCTACAGCCAGGCAAGCTGTGTATGAGCCCGCATGTGACCAGGGAAGGGGGCACCCAGATGCAGCACAGGTACCGTGGGGTGGAGGGGTTGCTGGCTCCGCTCAGCACTCTTTTCACTGGTAGCCCTCTATAACAAGGAGCACCATAATGCTGTCGGCAATGGAATCTAACATACAAGGAAAAGGAGCTGCTGTTTATAGCTGTGCCATGGGACAGAACAGAGAGGCGGCTGGGATGTGCAGGGAAAAGCTCAACTCAGACTCACTCTCAAGGCTGTGCAACCTTGCAAGGTCCCTAACCTCCGTGAACCTCACATTTTTCACATGGAAGATGGAGGTGGTGAAGCCCAGCCCGAGAGTCAGCAGGGAGAATCAGAGTGCTGGTCCAGACAAAGCATCCGCGTCCTCGCCATGCTTTATCCCCCCCTCGCCACATCTCACTTCTTAGTGCTCAACCTAGTACCTTCTCTTACCAAGTTGCTTCGCATTGAGACTGAAGTCCACACAGGTGACAGCATCTCGGTGGCCCTTAAAATGCCTCTCCAGTGAGGGGTCCTCCTGCAAGACAGCCAGAGTCAAACGGGTGAACGTGGGTGAGGAAGGTGCTGCCCCAAGCCAAGGCTTCCTACAGCAGCCAGCAGGGGTTAAAAATGCTCACGGCATGATTTTCAAACACAAAAAACCCTAAGGAATCCCCTAAAAGCTACCAAAACTATGCAATTAATAAGTTCAACAAGGAAGTAGGCTACAAATTCAATATAAAAGAAAATGTGGTATTAAATACAGTAGAGGACTACTCGGCAATAAAGATTAACTTGAGGCATTTCTAGGTAAAAGAATGCACATCGAGACCATAATTTTAAGTGAAATAAATCAGATGCACATGCTTAAATATAACATGGTTTCTCTTATAAAAGAAACTACATATAGATATAAACATGTACATGTGTGTGTGTATATATATACATTGTGTAAAATAAAAGATAAATAGGAAGTAGATCTTTCTCAAATGGATGGGGAAACAAGAGATGGAGGGAGGGGGAAGAAGTGAAGGAAAAGGGGATGGAAAGAAAACGGAAAAAAAAAGTAAAAATAAAGCTTTTGCAAATAGGAAGAGTACCAAGAACTGGAAGGAGCATAGAGGACAAAAAAATTTTAAGTGTGCTATATACATGGAATATAATCATTATGTGCTGCAAATGTCTACTAAAATAATAAAAATTTAAAAATTAATGCACAGAGAAAAATGCTGGGTGTAGTGGCACCATGGGTGGTGGCACATGACTCCCAGCACTGGGGAGGCTGAGCCAGGAGGATCATTGTGAACTCAAGACCAGCCTGGGCTACAAAATGAACTCAAGGTCAGCCTGAACTGGATAGAGACTCTGTCTAAAAAAGACAGGGGCTGGGGAGATGGCTCAGTAGAATAAGTGCTTCCCTGGCAAGCGCAAGGGCCTGAGTTCAATCCCTGGTCCCCCCCCCCAAAAAAAAGACAAAAAAAGGAAAGAAATTAATTGTATTTCGGTATAATAACAATGAATAACCTAAAAAATAAAGGAAATTATTCCACTTATAATAAATAAAAAAAATACTTAGGAATAGTTAACAAAAGAAGCACAAGACACATAGCAAGACTAATAAACATCATTGTAAGAAATTAAAATGAACTTTAAAAATGAAAAGATAACTTATGCCATGGATTGGAAGGTAACAATTGTTAAGATACAATACTGTTCAAATCCCATGAGGCCACTTCTGCAGACACTGACAAGCTGATCCTGAAATCAACAGGAAAACTTGCCTGATGTGGTGGCACACCCCTGTAATTCCAGAACTCCAGAGGCTGAGGCAGGAGGATTGCTACAGTTCAAGGCCAGCCTGCCCTACATCATGAGTACAAGACCAGCCTGAGGTACACAGTGAGACCCTATCTCTAAAAACAAACAAAAAATGGAGAGGAAGTGTTTTCTATCTTTATTTCTTTGGGCACATTTTTCTCATTATCAGCCAACAATGAATCAACTCAATCCATCTACAGATAAACCACAACATATCATTCAGTCATGAAAAAGAAAGTCCTAACCCATGCTACCACAAAATAAGCCTTGAAAACACTGTAAAGTGAAAGCCAGTGGACTATTTGGAAAGTCCAAACTAGTCAAATCTGTTCAGATAGAAAGTAGGTGAATGGTTGTCAGATGATAGAAGGGGAAGACTGTTATTGGATATGAGGTTTTTTACTAGCACGATGAAAATACTCTGAAATTTGAGTGATGATGGTTGTACAATACCAGGTATGTATTAAAACCACTGAACAGTGCACTTTATTTTTTTTAGAACCTGGGATTGAACTCAGGCCCTTGCACTTGTGAGGCAAGCACCTATTCTCCTGAGCTATCTCCCTGGCCCCTGAACTGTGCACTTTAAAAGGTGAATTTTCCAGGCGTGGTGCACATACCTACATGATCCTAGCACCGGGGAGGCTGAGTCAGGAGGGTCAGCAAGAGTTCCGAGGCATGCCTGGGCTGGGCTACATAGTGAGTTTAAGGCCAGCCTGAACTACATAGTGAGAGACTGTCCCAAACAAAGAAACTAAAAGATTAAAAAAGGTGGCGAGGGGCCAGGGAGATGGCTCAGTGGAATAAGCGCTTCCCTGGCAAGTACAAGGCCTTGAGTGCAATCACTGGTTCCGCCAAAAAAAAAGAAAAAAGAAAAATGTGGTGAAAAAAGGTATAGACTATTCATGGTATAGAATATCTCAATAGTGTTATTTAAAAGCCCAAACAGGAAGAAAAAAATATAGATATATAATATATTTATATATATATATTATATGTGATATATATATATATATATATGCCTTTCAGCACCTTGCATTGCACGAATCGGATCTTGCACCCTTCATCCTGCCCTAGACTAGTTAGGGAACGCTTGGGTCTGTCCTAGCCAGCTCCCTGATGTCATCACCACCATCTCCACCTGATCCAACACCAGAACATACAGATGTTCAGGCCACTGCTTGGGAAGACAGCAGGAGCTGGCACTTGAAGGATTACCCGCCATTCATCCAAATACAATGTAACTCTCTCCTACTCAAAGGTAAGAAATTTCAAAGAAACACTTTGGATGCTCCTGAAGCCCAGAAAGACTCAGGCGAAAGGGTGTCCCTGGGTCAGAACAAGCCACCGCCACCCCATAGTGCTGTGACCTAACATGAGCTCACCTCCACCCCAACCACCTGCAACGTTCTCCTCCCAACAGGGTGAGTGACCGGTGGCGGGAGCATCTCTAGCATAGCGACAAGCACCGCATTCATCCTGATTCTTATCTGAGCTTCTTGGAAAAACAAGGTTCAGACAAGGTCTATCCCTAGACTCCGTGAGTAAAAACAAGTTTTGGTCCACTCCCGAATGGCACATCCCTTGAAACTTCCCCACATGTAATTCCCTGCGTGTGGGCCTCACTGGGGAGGAACGCGCCAGATTAGAAGTCAAAACGTCAAGAGTTCTAGTCCGGGCCTCCTGCCGAAGTCCTCATACGCCTCAGACTACGACCGTGCGAGTGGGGGTGGCCTGCAGGCAGCAATCTCTCCAAAGGACTCCACTGAGTGATGCTCTCTGCCATCTGTAGGAACCTGGGACTCAGGAGAGGAGTCCAGGACCAGGTCACACTGCAGGCCTGAGCCACCCCAGGCTTCTCCGAGTCCGGCTGCTTCTATCAGAAGAGGGTGTGGCTCAACAAGCCCCAGCCAGCTACCCGCAGCTCAGGATGAAGAGAGACAGGCTAGAAAAGTCAACTCCAGTGCCGAGCCACCTGTGTGGTGCTGTGCCCGTATCTTCGTCGCTAAGATGTCAAGCCCGGGCGGCAAGGACTCGGCTGGCCCCAGTACCTCTGCACCGGACCAGGCGCGCGAGGGGCGATCCGTAAGCGCCCGGACCCTGCCCGCCGCGCAGAACGCAATCTGGCGTGGTGAGGACCGCCTAGTCCTCCCGGGGTCACTGCTCGAACCAGCCAGGCGCCCAACGTCCCAGAGGGAAGGCAGGGACCCTGGCGGTCACCCCCGATAGTACTTACCGGGCAGGGCGCGGCCATGGTAGCTGCGGCGGCAGTTGCTCGGGTTCGGTTTCCGCGCCCCTAACCGCCGCCAATAGCAACGCGGGACGCGCCGCTCCGCCCCGCCCACTTCAGTTAAAGGCGAAGTGTGCATTAACTTTCCACTTGCAGACCAGAAGCAGAGCTTTTCGGACGACGCTGCGGCCTCCTCGTCTAGCTCCGCCAAACCAAGGGACCTATAGACCGCACTGCCAGAAGTCTATATCCTCTACCACTCATTCCTCTAGAAAATTTATAAAGCTCAGGCAAGGGTTTCCCTACCCGCGTCCGCCACCCGATGACGTCACGGGGAGCGCAGCCTTTTGGGAAATGTAGTGCTGTGGCCACCATCACACCCTAGCCTCCAAAGGACGGAAAACTACACTTCCCGAGGTTCCAAGGGGCGGGTCCTTTTAATCGCATTTCCCCCCCCCAGCAACGCCCTTATGGATGCCGGAGGAGGACATGTGAGTTGCCATTTGCAGTCGCTTTAAAGCTATAGAAGGAGACCTGATTGCCAGCCACTGATTCGCCTCTCTGAAACTTTGAGTTTGGCCTTCCGAACGCGTGGAAGACAAGTGTGGATCGATAAGAACGTGGATCATTGGGCCGACAAGATAGCTCAGCTCTGCTTAGGTAAGCGCAGGGGCAGCGGTTTGATCCCCGGCACCACGTGCTGCACCAGGCCCTTCCCAGGGTGGGCTGAGCCGCCCACAAAAAGAAAAAAAAAAAAAAAAAGAACGTGCATCACTCGGAATCACAACACCTAGATTTGACTACCAGTTCTCGCCTGATTGGCCGGAAAAATGCCAAGGCTCTGTGAAATAGCTTCCGGGCTTGTGATTGGAGGGAGTGGCGACGTTCGTAGGCGTAGCTGCGGGAGGAGGCAGTACCGCGGTCTGGCCAATAGAGGCCGTTCCCACTCCCTCGAACGATCCCGAGGCCCAGGCTGTCCTTTGACCTTTCCTCTACCTGGCCTCACACTGGGCATCTGACCCAGACCAGGTTTGTTTTGCAAGATTCAAGAACTTTCTATCGCCTCTCCAGGACAGGCAAACTTGTCTAGACTCCAACTGTGGTTAGGATTCGTCTATGCCCAGAGGCTTTTTAACCACACATTGAGACCTGACAGTCTGTCCCTGGATCTGCAAACCTACCAGAGGTTCCGTCATCTCAGAAACTGGCACAAGGCAGCAGCATTTCAGATTTGGACCTATGAGATCGGAAACCAGACATAAGAAACGAGGATGCGCTCAGTCCCATCTTAACCATGATATGGCAGCATGGTTCCTTTACCTTAGAAATGTTCAAGCTCATTTAGACACCGTGAAACCCTTAAAACCAATATAGTCGCTACACACACACACACACACACACACACACCCTGAAGTTCAACACTGTTCCAAGGATAATTTTCTAGTCTCCCCACCAACATGCCCATCATCATATTCAGCTCTGTTATGTACCACCCCCCAAACATTTAGAGGGGAAAGTTACAGAAGGAAAAAAAACATAGAAAAAAATATCAATCTAATCTAAATTGTATTGATAAATATATCAATTGTTGGGTGATATGTTTAGTTTGGGGGTTTTGTCAGTTTTAATTATGGAGTGTAAGTCTCCAACGGGACCTGATATCCCCAGCCCCCACCTGCCTACCAGCAGAGGTGCTTTTCTCAGTGGGGAACTCAGCTCAGCACCACAGCTGTCATCTGCAAGCACAGGATGTCACAAAAGAGATTTTTAAAAGCACAAGGAATTATGCAGGTTCCAGGACAAAAATTTACAACGGACCTTCAAGAACTTTGCCCGCGGAGGGGGCCAACAACCAGAAAACTTTGACCACAGATGTTTATTAAAACCTTCCCACCTGATGTCCCTGGTGCTCTTTCTATTCTTATAAAAGGGGCACATCTCTCTGTTCCCAAAAGAAGGTCTCTTTGCTTTCTCTCTGTATGCACCCAGGTCCAATAAATTCCACTCCTGTTTCCTTTACACAAGCCTGGTGGTCATCTCTGCTGGTCTCCTCCCATCACTGAGCTATGTGTTATACAGAGTACTTTTGATCTATAGAGTCTTTTTTTTTTTTTTTTTTGTATTTTTTAGGGAAGGGTCTGCAGGGTATTCAGGGTCTCATATCAGAGACTCATAGTGATCCGCCTGTTTGCAGCCTCCCACGAGCTGGGATTACAGGTGTGCGCCATCACCCCCAGTTTCAATTGCTATCTCAGTGGGCCCTGAGGGCAGGGCCAGCATGGCAGGCCCAAGGATTGAAACCCTGGCCCCTGTGCCTGCTTGCAGGTGCTTTAATCCGCTGAGCTCTTTGGCTGGCCCTTTTTTTTTTTATCTATAGAGTTTTATACTTAAGAAAACTGAATTTAGGTAAGCTAATTTTCAAACTAAGCATAGTGAGGAATGCCTGTAATCCCAGCACTTGGGAGGCTGAGGCAGGAAGATTGCTTTGAGTTTGAAGCCAACCTCTGCTCAAGACCTGACCCTGCCTCCAAAAAGCTAAATAAATAAAATAAATAAATATCATATTTGCTCAAAGTGAGAGTTATGGGAAGGCTTTACTCACACTCCCAGTCTTCCCAGATTAATGTCTTCTATATTTCTACCCATCAGGGAGGAGAAGCTGCACCTGACCACCTGACTCATGCCACTTAGATTGAACTCTAATCCTGACTGAGAGCACCATATTGTGCCAAAGCTCAGTGTTAGAGGAGCTAATGGAGCCTCCATGTTGGGAGGAACTCTATGTAAGTGTAGCTGCAGGGGAGCATCTTTCTGTGCCCTGGAGGGGAGAGCTCTCTGTCCTAGTACAAAGCCCACAGGCAGGTCCCCATGGCAGAGCCTCGAGTTCACTCCCCACCCCTCCACCCGAGGGCCATGGTCATCCCAGCTCAGAACAGGGACAGAGGACGAAAGGCTGGACATTCCCCCAGCCCAGCCCAGCCTGCCCCTGGAAAACCCCATTGGTACCGCCAGTCTGCCCCGCACCTGCTGATGGCTGACGTCTGAAACTCTGAGCAGGGACACTCAGGACTTTTCCTAGGCATGGGCAGGTCTGGAGATGAGTACAGCCCTGCCGCCTCCAAGCTGGGTGAGGTATCAGGAGCTGTGCCACCTGTGCCAGCCTGTGTGGTCACAACAGTAAAATAATCATAATAATACACTGTCATCATTGGGGAGGGAAAGTCCGTGAGCTACCAATTCGTGTCTGCACTTGACATTAAGCTGTCATTTAATATGAAGTGTGTGACTGCATGCTTCCTCTGCTCCACCGATCTGGCTGACTAGTCTGCCTCTAACAGCCCTGCTTCAGCCGCACAGACTTTCTCAATGTTCTTGAGCAAGAACGTAGCAGCCAGGAGCTGGATATGCTGGCACATGCCTGTAATTCTAGCACTCAGGAGGCTGAGGTAGGAGGACGGCCAGGAGTTTGAAGCCAGCGTGGTCTACATAGTGAGTTCAAGGCCACATACCACATAGTAAGACCTTGTCTCAATAGTAATCATAGAATGTAAGGGCTTGCCGGATAGCTTAACCGTTTAAAGCGCCACTTGGGCAAATGCAGTCAGGAGCAGGGGACTGTGGTTTGATCCCCAGCTCTGCAAGCCGCACCAGACCAGCCCTTAAGGCAACCTGAACTATCCAAAAAGAAAAGAAAAGAAAAAGAATGTAGCAGCCACACTCCTGTCTCAGCCCTCCTAGGCTGGCTTCCTTGGCAGTGTCTTTCACTTCCATCAGGACTTTATTCAAATACCACCTTGATGTACCCTTCCCTGACCACCCCACTTAATATGCCAACTCCCCTCCCCTTTCTCTGCTTTCTTCTTTTCTGTATGTAGTACAGGGTCTACAGGGTCTCACTACATAGATCAGACTCTTAGTGATTCTCCTGTTTTCAGCCTTCCAAGAGCTGGGAGCCGACACAGCGCTCCGGAGATTGAACACAGCCGCTGCGCTCTCTGCTTTATTTTCTTCCCAATAATTTATAGCCATCTGAGGCACTGGACTTGTTTCATTGTTGTCTTCTCCCATGAGAATATCAGCTCCAGAGGACAGATAATGACTAGGACTCAGAAGAGGAAGGGTGGCCCAGGTGGAGGCAACTGACTCAGCCAACGTCTGGTAACAGGAGTGTGGTAAGCAGGGACAAAGGTGGAGTCAGGAGTGAGGCAGATCATAATGCTACCCAGTATAGACAAGATGACTAGGGATTAGTCTTAAAGAACCAGGAAGCCACAAGTCCCCTCCTAGAGCTGAAAAGAGCCAAAAGAGACACCCCATCCAGACGGATCTGTGGTTGCAGGCACACCTGTTGTGACAGTGACCCTGCAAGCTCCCTCCCCAGGAAATCACAGCAATTCTGGGCCTCCGTGGTGCCCTGCCCTCTGTGGAACTGGGATGCCATCTTTCTCTACAGGAAAGTCATGCTTTCAGACTTCCATCCAGTGGTCATGCCTACTCTATTAAAAGAGCTTCCCTCAAAAGGACCTTAGAGTGTCACTATGGATGAGCATCCAGCCTGGGCCTATTCTTCCACATGTTAGGAAAGTGGATGGCAGGACTAGAGTTGACTAGGGATACCTACAAATCATGGTGTCTGGGCTGGTGAGATAGCTCAGTGGACTAAATACCTGCTTAGGCAAGCTCAGGGACTGGGTTCAATCCCCGGCACCACATGCTGCGCCAGCCCTGCCCCTGGGCGTGCTAAACCAGCCAATGAGACAAGACCACCATGTCCATAATCCCAGCAATGGGGAAGCTGAAAACAGGAGGATCACTATGAGTCTAAGATGCATAGTGAAGTGCGGTACCAAATATTTAAAAAAAAAAAAATGTGTCGCAGGAGTAGGGGTCCCTTGGGAGCAGTAACTCCTCTCTACCCACACAGTGGGTTGGGAAAGTACCTGTGTGCCAAGCCCTCCTCCCACATCCCATGAACCCAACCCACGCTCCTCCTCCCTGCCCTCCATTAGTGCACCAGGCCTCTGTCACAATACCCAGGGAGAGGAGAAAGGGCCGGCGTGGCCGAGTTGGAATAAAAGAACAAATCCCACAAAACAGAAGCTCCCTGCCTTGGCTCTGCTCTTACGGGCTGAGAGCAGGCTACAAACACTTGCATAAGGTTTGGACTCAAAGTTGAGAACTTCTTCAGCAAATAAAGTAAACAGAGCCTTAGAACAGTGGATCTCAGTGCTGGTTGCTGCTTCATCCCTTCGCAGGGGAAGCCCAAACACCAGTTTTTGAAAGCTTGGTGCGTGAGAACA